GGGGGGGGGTGGGGGGGCCTCTTTGAGCTGCAGGCAGTGCTTGCTTCTGTTTTTACAGCACTTGCTGTTCACCGTTCCGTTGGACTGCTTTTGGGTGTCTACAGTATATGACTGTGTCCCTCAATGGATGAGAGAGAAAATAGGATTTTTGTACTTGCCATAAAATCCACTTTATGGAGTTCATTGAGGGACATGGGTCCTGTTTTTCTCTCCACCCATGTGTGTTTGAGCATGTTCTTGATTCTCCAGTAAAAACAATGAAGTGCCCCTATCAGTCCTCACTGGGAAATCTTCTCAGGCATACTGCAGGATGCTGCCCCAAAGAAGCCGGGAATCTGGAAATCCACTGGACAATTCCTGTGTGTGATGATGTGTTTCCGGGGCATGCCCCCTTTATCAGAACATGATGTTCTGATGAAGGGGGCGTGCCCTGGAAGCACATCATCACACACAGGAATTGTCCAGTGGATGCCTTACTGCATGTCAGCTCCCATTCCATGCCTGTGTAACACATGTTTGTGAGTACCATTTCATCTCCTTTTTACTCCATGCTTATTGAAATAAATTGATCTGCACTAGGAAAGGCGCTCCCTTTGTGTTTACTTTCCATGTTCTTGGTTCTACTTTGCTACAAAGCTGAGGCATGCGGGTGGAAGCAGTGGGCTGTTATGCTGAGCTGGCTCCCCCCCCGGGTATCGGCGCATCCCTAATAGAACCTTAAACACTCCTGTGATCTGTCAAAGGAACAAACCTGGGACCTTGGGTTACAGAGTGTTTTGTTTTTACGTATGTAAAGCAACCATACACCCAGAAATGTAATGTCTGGATTGTGCAGTCCTGCCTGGAGCTGCAGTCTGTGGCAGCAGATACAGTGCCAAGTTTACCATTGTCTGTGCTATCATACGAAAAGAAAATATATCAATGGATAAAGTGCTTTATTCTTGGTTTACATTCTTTGAATATTTTCCCTCCCAGATTTATTTTGTATCGAAAAATGCAGATCACCATAAAGGGACACTTAATACAGATATTTGTAACAAAATACTGCATAGATTCTTCTTCCAGACATTTAAAAAAGGTCTTCTACAGATCCACCAGGGTACGGATTTCATTAATGCGCGCTTGCTTCATTTGACTGGAAGTCGGCTTATTTCCTCCAAATGCCCCTGCAGCCAGCTCTCGCTTCTTGTTCTGAATTTTTTGCATATTTTCTTCCACTGAATCTTTAACAACAAACTGAAGAGACAGACTGGGGTTAGCAGTATACTTTATGGTTTGTCAAGTCATAGCTTACAATATGTGTCCACCTTTCTTGTTAACGTGCAGAACAGCCCCTCCCCCACTGTGTTTGTGTTCTTATTTACACGGCATACTTAAAAATTAGGGATGCGCCAATAACAGTTTTTTTTGGTATAGGTTTTGGATCTTTAGGTACTCGCCAGTACAGATACCTAGACTTCTGCTAGCATGAAGCTGGCTTCCCCAGCCAATCGGCAAGACGGGTGGCATTACCGGCTGTCTGATTCCTCGATTGCCCTTCCTAGCTAATCAGCATCAAGCTGGCAAAACAGCATGAAGGTGGCTACCTGGCAACAAGTGATTGGCCAGGAAGCTGCCTCCATGTTCCCTTGTGGCACTTCCGGTCAGAGGAAATCTAACCTCAGGCTAGAAGTGCTGGTATCAGTGATGGTAGTGAAGCATTTGGGTGAGTACAAGTATATACTCCATATCGGTACATCCCTACTAAAAATGTTTTTAAACTCCTTACCTTTCGAATCGTTTCCTTGGAACAGGATTATACACTTGTGCTCATAAGTTTACACACCCTGGCAGAATTTATGATTTCCTGGCCATTTTTCAGAGAATATGAATGATAACATGAAAACCTTTCTGTCACTCATGGGTAGTGTTTGGCTGAAGCCATTTATTATCAATCAACTGTGTTTACTCTTTTCCAATCATAATGACAACAGAAACTACCCAAATGATCAAAAGGGAAGCTCTCCAGGTCCCATCCAGAACAACAAAACAAGAATCTATTTCTGAAAGAAGCGGCAGCTAAGACTCGCACAGCCCAAACCACATCCAACAATGGAGTCAGACAAGGATGGGAGAACAATGGCCTTAAGGAAGAAGTTCAGGATCTTAACACCACCTTGTCTCTATGTAAGACCAAAAAGAGTTTTATTTTAGCAAGATAAGGCCGCCAGTTCAGATACTAGACTCAAAATGTGAACACTATAAGGAAAACCACCTTATTGGTGAGAGTAGATAAAGGAATGTATCTAAAGGCTTCTGAAGCACAGAACGAACCACATTCAGAGCCCAAGGAGTCACATGGAAACCCAAGCTGGGACACCCCTTGCAGAAAAGGTCTTAAAGTATATTTCCACTTTTTCAGGCAAGTTAGGATAACAAGAATTTTATATTTGTTACATTTTCTCATTCAACACAACTGAAAAAGAAAAAAAAAAAATTGCTGCTTACAAATTACACAAGACAAATACACTGCTCAGCTCACATCCACAATCTGAGGATCTCATCTGCTTTTGTTGTGTGCCGACTGCAAGGGCACGCCACAGTCTGACAGGCACTAAATCCAAGTGTAAAAAGGGCAAGCCTCACTCACTCACTAGAAATAAATGTTCCCTACGCTTGTTTAATCCACGAGCATACATGACCTGTACACTGACACACAACTTTACGCCTCTCACGTGTCCCACCGTTATAGCCTGATCACAGAGCTGAAATCAGTCACAGGGCAAACAACGTTAAAACATGACTGATTGAATCCATCCGTGTAAAACCCCTACTTCTCGGAACAGCCATTACCCCCCTTACCAATGCTCTATTGGTATCAACCTACAGCAGACCTTACTGCAAGAAAAGATGCATTCAATTTCTTACAATGAAATCACTAAAAACCAATACAATGGTGACAATATTTAACTCCTCATTGAAAATGAACATGTAACAAATCTACTGAGGTTGATGTTTGGCTTATGAAGCAAGGAGGAAGAGATGCACATGTGATCCCAGAAATATAAACTTTTCATTTACTACATTAAAAAAACCTTTCATATAATAAAAGTTGCATAGAAAAGTAAAGAAGAGATTTTTCTCCTGACCGCAGTACTCTATGTAGCCACGTAAGGGGGTATAAGGGGAAGTGCATCACTAGTACAAATCACATCATTCATAATAAGTCCCATTTAAAGTTCAATCCCTGAGGGATACGTGTCTTCAATATAAATATCCAATACACCTCCCTTTTGGCCAATAAAGAAAACCTATCACCAACTCTCTATAACTTGGATCGGCATGCTATCTACACTCCCACTAGGATTGTTGCAGAAATGTTTTGCTATATTGGTATTCGTCTTCAATCTAATATTGAATAGGTGATCCCTGGTACAGTCACAGAGTCGCCTTGTGGTCTTACTAATGAACTGTTTGTGGCACTGGGTGCAGGAAATCACGTATACAAGAAATCTACTCTGGCAATGAACTCATTGTTTTATCTTGTAAGATGTTCCAGTAGTATAAGATGTCACTGTATGTGCATCTCCCAGCAAGTCACAACCCGAACAAGGAAATTAATTGCATTTATACACGCCCAACCGTACACAGCCATCCACAACCATCATTCAATCTCATTTAAACAAGCTGGGAGGCAAAATATTGCCTAAAGTACGTGTCCGTCTAGCCGCAAATCTTACACCCGTCTGCAAAACATCCTTTAAATCTTTGTCTCCATAAGGCCCCATTCACACTGAGCGACATGAAAATCGCGCGATTTTATATGTGCGATATTGACCGACTTTTTCCTATTGGGCTGTATGCAATCAGGAGCAAAATCGCTCGAAATCTGCAGAAAAAAGGGTCATGTAGGAGCGACAAGCTACAAGCGATATTGAGCGGCGAGATGTGAACAGCTCCATTGAAATGGATTGGAGAAGCTACATAGAGCGATATCGCGTGGAAATATGAGCGATATCGCTGCAAAAAATCGCTCAGTGTGAATGTGGCCTTAAGGATCGGTAAATACCTTTTTACTATTTTTTGCACTTCCGTATACAGGCAGTTCCCGGGTTACATACATCCGACTCCTACTTAAAAACGGAGGGTGTTGCTGTACAGCAAAGGTAATGCTACCGCACTCATGCTGGCGAGCAGTGCCCGCCTATTTGGGTCTGGTTTGTAGTACTCCACGTACATTACAGGAAGTTGGCTCTTAGACGTTTAGACGAGAGGTGCCAACCTCTTCTTCCGGGTCACTGTGAGGGTTTTACTGCTGTCTATAGCCTCATTAGAAAGATTTCTTCTCGCTTCCTGTCCTTGAGACAACAGTAAGTGAGAGGAAATATAGCCCTAGAAAGGGAAATTTACTCCTGTAAGAGTTATCATAGGAAAAAGGTGTTTCCACTGAAGCTTTATCACCGATCCTTGTTTCCACAACAACCCAACATTTTCAAAATCCAATTGTCACAGGGACAGAAAGTGAGGTGAAATCTTCTGAACTGGGGCACACAACAAAACAAACGTTACAGGGGGTTAACCCTTCCCTATGCTATCCAAAACTAAAAAATAAAGAAATTTGGGCTGGAGGTACACTTAAAAAATGTACCTGTTCCAACTTACATTCAAATTCAACTTAAGAACAAACCTACAGAACCTATCTTGTTCGTAACCCGGGGACTACAAAGAGTATCTTACGATGTTTCGTCCCTGATTGATTACTTTTCCTGCTATTTCTACTACTCCCTTTTCTAATTGTATCCCTTAACAAATCTGTCCGTGGAATTTTAGACACTTTGTCCTACATACTATTAATAAGAGAAGAGGAGTATTCCCGTTCTAAAAATCTCTTCTCAAGATCTTTAGCGACTTTCTGATAATATTCCACATTAGTAGTTATGTTTAAGTCTAATAAACTGGCCCTTCAGAATGGCTCTCTTAATAGTCCCCGGATGGCAACTGTCACCCCCCCAGAGCCCCCCTTTCTGTAGGATGAGACTTGTCCTACATTGTCCTCAACCACCCCTATCACAGTCAAATCCAAATAGCCGATGAGCTTTTGCTGTAATTCAGATGTAAAATGACAATATTACAATTACAGAAAGGACCGATTTCAGCTCTGTGATCAATGGTGGAACGCGTGAGCGCATAAAGTTGTGTATCGGTGTACAGCTGATTTATATGCCCATGGATTAAAGATTCATCTCTGGAGTGCAGCTCCCCATTTTTACACTTAGATAGAGTGCTGCTTACAAATTACTTGTTTTCTCTAAACTGAGTTTTCCTCTAGAATACAAGGGGGCTGTGGAGGTTACCATAATCAGCTTCTTTTGGGGGGTCCTAGGTGACAGGACCCAATCTGTACTGTGCTGGCAGATTTCATTATCAGTTGTAAACGAGATTGGAACACTGTCCTAACAAAGGGTTAACAATCTAGAATCATTGTATGCTAATGAGGGGAAGCCCAGAGTGTACTTAGTCTTTCTATGGGGACTGCCTGAGTTTTCTTTCACTTTAAAAATGTTCAACAAAAATATCTAAAAGGCATTTTTTTTTGTTCAAAAAGCTTTATCAAGGAACAATTGGAATTGAGGGAAAAAGGGAATTGGTGCAAAGAAGAGGGGGGAGGTTCGGAAAATTAGGGACTGTGGCACAAGATAGAGAAGGGCCCCTGGTAAGAGAGCTTTCCATAAAGTGACACTAAACTCAGGGGTTAAACCTTAACCACTTCAAGACCAGGTGTTTAGACCCCCTTCCTGGCCAGACCATTTTTCAGTGTTCAGCGCTGCGATACTTTGACTGACGTTTATTCCGTCATGCAATGCTGTACTGAAATTAATTTTATACCATTTTTTGGGGACAGATAGAGCTTTATTTTGGGGGTATTTAATCACCGCTACGGGTTTTATTTTTTACTATAATTAGGAAAAACTTTTTTTTTACATTGTTAGGAAACATTTATTATTAACCAGTTTTTTGGTAAAATATAAAAGATCAGGTCACGTCGGGTAAAATCTTTATGGAGACATTAGGGACCCCTAATGTCACCAAGGACCCCCCAAAAGAAGCTGATGAAGCACAGATCTGCTCCATCAGCTTCTGAAGCTGGAGAGTGACACAAGAATGCGGAAGTGATGTATTATACAACACTTCCGCATTCTTTCAGAGGAGAGGGGACCGGAGGGAGGTCGTGTACCGATCGGCACCCCATACACGCTCTACAGCCGGCGGATCGCTTGTATGGTAACAGGCATCGCTGCCTGTTTCAAAATTTCGGCCGTTTCCCGCTCGCGCACGCCCCGCGGCGCGCGCGAGGGGGCGTGTCTGAGTGGACGTCTAAAGACGCCCGCTCAGATCTAGAGAGCTCCGGGCCGGCCGTTTTTTTACTACGACCGGCCCAGAAGTGGTTAAAAATGCTTTCAAGTAGCTTAACTATTATCAAAAATTTATTGTATTTGTATATCACTCAGCCGCAGCTCCTCCAATCATCTCTGAATTGGTGCTGACCCAGACATTCCTTCTGGAGGGTGGCTACTTTTGTTCCCCATGGTCCCTGTGTTTGTTGTAAAGTAGTCACCGCTCCAAGCTCACTAGACTAGATGGACTACAATCTCAATACAAATTAGTAAACTAAATGTGAGATTGTAGTCCATCACAGGTGAGCTTGGAGCGGTGGCTACTTTACAACACACACAGAGACCATGGGGAACAAAAGTAGTCACCCTCCAGAAGGAAGGACAATGTCAGCACCAATTCAGAGATGATTTGGGGATCTACAGCAGAGTGATACACAAATAAGAGACATTTTTGTTAATAGTTAAGGTACTTGAATGTATTCTTAAAGGGGTTCTAAACCCTCCGGTTTTTTTGCTTATATCTACTGCTAGCATGCAGTAGATTTAGGCAAGAAGTGTAAAAAAAACCAAAAAAACGTTTAAAATCATTTTAAACTTACCTCGTTATCGCCGCTCGTTCCCGCGCCGAGAATCAGGAACTGCTCGTACGGCCGCAAAGGATCTTGGGGCGGGCGCATGCGCAGTTCTGATTCTCGGCCGGGAGACGAGCAGAGACGCAAGGTAAGTCTATGGACGCGTGCACCCGCATGCAGACACCGCTGGATCGGAGAGACAGAGCAGTCAGCGCTGGATCGGAGTGACGTCACACCGCTGGAGGGACAGATGAAAACATGGGGAAAGAAGAGGAAGATCGGAAATAGAGACATCATTTAAGGTAAGTGCTAACATTTACATTGGGGGGAGGGAAAACATTTTTTGCCTTTAATGTCACTTTAAGATTTAACTCCTGAGTTTACTGTCACTTTAACTTTTGCAAAGACTATTTTGAGGGCGATCTCCACGGTTTAGTCAGTACCGGTTTTGCAGCCGTAAGAATATAAGTAACAAGTATGAGTAAGAATATAAGTAACAAGTATGAATTGAGTATATAATATAAGTAACAAGTATGAGTAAGAATATAAGTAACAAGTATGAATTGAGTATATAATATAAGTAACAAGTATGAGTAAGAATATAAGTAACAAGTATGAATTGAGTAAGAATATAAGTAACAAGTATGAATTGAGTAAGAATATAAGTAACAAGTATGAATTGAGTAAGAATCTAAGTAACAAGTATGAATTGAGTATATAATATAAGTAACAAGTATGAGTAAGAATATAAGTAACAAGTATGAATTGAGTAAGAATATAAGTAACAAGTATGAATTGAGTAAGAATCTAAGTAACAAGTATGAATTGAGTATATAATATAAGTAACAAGTATGAGTAAGAATATAAGTAACAAGTATGAATTGAGTAAGAATATAAGTAACAAGTATGAATTGAGTATATAAGTAACAAGTATGAGTAAGAATCTAAGTAACAAGTATGAATTGAGTAAGAATCTAAGTAACAAGTATGAATTGAGTATATAATATAAGTAACAAGTATGAGTAAGAATCTAAGTAACAAGTATGAATTGAGTAAGAATATAAGTAACAAGTATGAATTGAGTATATAAGTAACAAGTATGAGTAAGAATCTAAGTAACAAGTATGAATTGAGTAAGAATATAAGTAACAAGTATGAATTGAGTAAGAATCTAAGTAACAAGTATGAATTGAGTATGTGTACAGGCAGCAGTTTTTTTTGTTAAGGAGAACTACAGAGGGATCTTTATTGAAGAAAACCCCTAACACTGTGTACAGGAGCTGATAGACTCGGACCTAAATGCGTCTGGCCTTCGAGCATTTCACCCACGTGTGCAAGAAAGGGGAAGCTCAGAGGCAATTGGAGGGGCAGCCGGGGACAGAACGGGAGATTCACAGGGGAGATAAGTACCGCCGGAAGAGTAATTCATAATTCGCACCCACAGCAAGTACATTCAACAAACTCTTGGCAGTGGCGAGCCAGATTTGTTTTCAGTGTTCTAAATCGAGAGGTCTGTTGAAGTTATAAAGGGAGTTCCTTCTGTGCACTGGCAATGAGAAGATAAAAGAAATACGTCCTGGGACATAAAGTTGTCCTTCAGGCAGTATTCAAAAGAAGTCAGGCTAGATGGGTCATCAGTAGAGGGGCGGCACTGCTTGAGAAAATGATTTCATCTGAAAGTATTGTAAGACTTCACCTAGTCAGAGTTGATGGGAGGGTCTATAGGGTTTGTAATGGGCATTACCTCAGAAGTTTAGAAAATGTTATACAAGGTAAAGCTTACATTGAAACTACTTTTGAAAAGCCTGGGAGGAACGCGGGGTTGCCTAGTATTGACATAAGTGGAGTATGGGCTGAAACTAACTTGTGGGAGACTTTCTACCTATCCCTCAGTTGGAATGAGTGCTTGGTAATCCTGCATTGCAATCCAGGCGGCACTAGAAGACTTCCTGTGTCCTTCAATGGATGAGAAAGAAGTCAAATACTATTGGGACGATGATATTACTCACAGTGAAATTGTATGGCTGCACCATCACTACCTAAAAACGAATATTCTAGTTAAGGGTCAGACAATGGCAGACACCTTCAGTTTTCTCCACAAAGGGTACTATGGCACTCCTTGCTTTTTTGAAGATACACATTCAAAGACAGCTTTGCAACATTCATGAAGGCACCAGCAGGACATGTTTTTTTCTGCAAAAACTTGCGGCAGTTGCCAAGGCCCAGCTTATGAAAATTAATGAAGTTCCCTGCCGCCACTGGCAGATCTTCAGCAGAGCTGGTTGACTCCTTATCTCTAGAAACAGCTTTGTATGTGTCAGGTGAGGATTACACACCAGTATCTTCTCATCAGCCCCACCTGCTAGTAGGAAATGCACTTTCATTATTTTGAATATGTTACCTTAGTAATAATAACTTCTTTGGTCTGTCCTAGTCGATGACAACGATCAAAGCATTGCTCTTCAGCAGCTGGATTCCATGCCTTAAATACAGGCAAAAAACAAGAAGTAGAAAACGACAGGAATTACATCGCTTATTGCACATAAACATGTTATCCATTGCTGTGAAAGCCATCAATAAGCTCCGGTACTTATTGCCTTTAAAAGACACGTGATTGATGTGTGTAGTTGTGTGGCCCTAGAATTTGTGAGAGAATGTATTTAAAGCCCATCTTCAGGCAAAAAAAAAAATACAAAATACCCTTGCAGTGTGACTACCCCATACACCTCAAGGGTTAGGTGCTTACTGACAGTGTTACTGACAGTGGACACAACTCAGGAGTTAAATCTTAATAACGCATAAGTACCCTAACTAATAAAAAACAAAAACAAATTTGTAAACTAAACATGACATTTTTGATCATGGAAGTGATCTTGGAGCGGTGGCTACTTTACACACACATAAAGGGACCATGGAGAACAAAAGTAGCCACCCTCCAGAAGAAAGGACAGTGTCAGCACCAATTCAGAGATGATTTGAGGATCTACAGCCCAGTGATACACAAATAGGATTTTTATAAGTTAAGGTACTTGAATGCATTTTTAGGATTTAACTCCTGAGTTAAGTGTCACTTAAACTGAATTCCGCTCCCTCAGCTGTCGGTGCTCTCCCCCGCTGCTCCAAGTGGTAGGATGATCTTCGGCATCTTCGCGCCTAATGCAGGTTTATGGAACCTGGTCTATGACCAATGTAACAAGTCTATGGATAAAAAAATAAGCACTTAAACCTTGTAATGCGGGCTGTCGCGCTACAAGGGCCCTTTTCTTGAATGCCCAGAAATGGGCTCTAGACAACAGCAGGGAAAACCTGTTTCAGGCAAAAAGAAGAAACAAGACTGGAGCAGAGAGCATCACCTTCCAGCAGGACAGTGACCTTAAACCCACAGCCATTGCTTGGCTGGAGTGGCCTTAAACCAGGAATCTGAATATCTCAAAGTCTACACCTCAATCCAAATGAGAATTTGTCACAAAACTTAAACCTCTGTTTACTTACAGTCCCTATTACACTGGCCAATGGCAGAGCTCTTATTTAATTTAAAGCTAGAATGTGATAAAATAAAATATCACCACACACAACCAATTGACATTCTTCTCTACTTTATGTGGGTAGCCAATAGTCTGGCACCCCACATGGTCACAAGTATGGAGTTTGTGACAGGCACTTTGACAAGATTTGTGTAGGCTGAAAACTGGAAATGTGTTATTTTAGTATTTACAATGTATTTCCATATGCTAATCTCCTCCAGTATTATTAGTTGTCAGCACAGCTCATGGAGGGTCAGGGCAGGAAAACCTCCGATTGTATCATGCAACGAGAATTTTCCTCAACCTTCACACTAGGGATGAACTCTGTACTGCTGCAAACTCAGAAGTAAGCTCCTTCTGCTGCTCAATCATCTGCGGATGGGAAGTCCCCATCCGCAAGCAAAGCAATGGAACGCTGTGATGTCATTGATCTTATAGTCACATGGCTATAATAGGTCAAAGCATTGACCTCATATTGCCATGTGGCCATATTAGGTCAATGATGTCAGCACGCGCATTTTTCCCCTTTGTTTATGTGCAGCTGTGGGGCAGGGAATGCTCCGGCTTGCAGCCGATTGGGTGGGTGGCCCCATGTCCCTTTCCGGGCTTGGGAAAGCTCAGGTCCGGACTTCACCTGAGCTTATCCCTAATTTATACCTTAAATAATTTTTTTTTTACATGTATGTTCCTAAAATCAAAAGCTGCAGGGCCCCATGGTTTGGGGGAATTTGAAAAGACATGTAGGGTAGGTGATGTGGCCATTGTAGATGGTGCTTAGTAGAATACTCTAATAATCAACACTTCCCATTAAAATTGCTTTTTGCTGCAGCAATAAAATCATTCCACAATGTATTTGTGTAATTTAAGGAAAATAAGCGCCATTTTTATTAAATTACTTACAGGATCCATCAGAAACACACGAGATGCCGCTGTCAGGTTTAGACCAACTCCTCCAGCTTTCAGTGACAGCAGCATAATGGTTGGAGAGTCGTTATGACTGCTTTGGAATGACTGAATTGCTTCTGTGCGCTTTTTCTGGTTCATAGATCCATCCAGGCGTGTAAACGTGAAGCCGGACTCTCTACACATAAAAATGAGGACAGTGTAACGTTTCCAAGACAACAGACACGGCATGGATAAAACACATCTGACTTAGCATTAATCCTCTACTGCTTTGCATAAAATCTAGGTTACGTAACTGCTAAAGGGAAAAAGGAGGGAGGTCAAATGAAACCATAAGATACTACTGAGCCACAATGTCATCATCCCGCTGTTTTTTATTCATCTACGTCAAATGTTATCACAGCCGTTATATGTATACAACAGCTGAACAGTTTCAGTCTATTTTGATTCTTATGACTGATAACATGCACACAGGTTGACACAAAGGGGTGTGAAAGGCTATTAAAGGGAACCATCCTCACATGTGATCTGTGTGCATGTAATCAGTGTGTGTGTGTATAAAAGTACAATGAGTGTCTGGCCTCCTGACAGACCCTTGCATCCTTCATCCAGTGCTGCACTGACGTGTCTGGATTTTGAGTCATGGGGAAAGCAAAAGAATTATCAAAGGACCTGAAGGAAAAGGTAGTTGAACTGTATAGAACTCCTAAATATAAGAGAATCCAAAGGGAGTTATGCTTGAAGCAAGCTGTAGGACAGAGAGGCAGAAACTAAGGAATGTACACGTAAGAAAGGAAAAACACCAAGAAGAATCTGGTAATCCAAAGCAAGACAGGTAATGGAGACTATGATCTGAATATTGATGGACCTGGCCTGTAATCCCTTTTGTGCATTCCTTGGCACTTTGTGCAATGTGTGGTTAAACACAGGGTGATCTACAGGTCAAGGGGTCTATCTAGGTGGAGCCCTGACCCCTGTTCCCCAGTGGGGTATGCCAACCCAGAGGACAAAGTTCAGATAGCAGGTTTCCTCAGCCATTGCAACATCCATGGTGAGGAACACAAGGCACTCAGGTAAGTCACAGCCATGGTACCCAGGCAGAAGCCCCAGTCCCCCAATTGGTTAATTCTGTAACTCCTGTGAAGATTTTTTGTTGCACTTTAAGCAGTTGGTTCAGCCTCAGCTTTGAATTGGGCCAAAAAATGTCTTCCTTTGTGGCCTATGGGCACTTTGGCAGGACCACACTTCCTGCTGTGACTCTGCATTAGACACTGCACTGCTCAAACCTGGTTCGTGAGGCCTACTAGTGTCTGCACATTTGGCATCCTCTCATCTACCAGGGGGCACACATGGCGGACCATGGACATCGGAATACCAAGGTGGGGGCCCAAGGGCCATACAACCAGATAACAGTTCTGGCGAGGGCTCTACCCCCTCTAGGCACACTATCCCTGATATTGCAATGCTTTGCTCCCTGTTTCCTTCACTGTTAGCATTAGGGTCCTTCTCTATATGACCCCCCTATGACTTACATTCTATTAAGAACTTTGCAGCTGTTATGGGTAATTTTATGGGCAGAATACAGAGGCATACATACAGGTTATGGTGGAAAAAGATGGTAACTGCATAAAATTTATAACCAGCCTATGTAGCAGGGTGCACATGGGAAGGCTGACAACAATACAAAACACAAAAAGATCCCCAGCACACCTGCCAGCTAGCCTGCAACAAAACAAATGGCCCTCTCTAACAGTATGCGTTAAAACGCAACTAAAACCTCCGCTTTTAACGCATACTGCTGGACAGGGCTATTTGCTTTGTTGCATGCTAGCTGGCAGGTGTCCTGGGAATCTTTTTGTGTTTTATACATACAGGTTATGCCACTGGTCTAAAACTGGGCAGTAGAGATGTTCAGATACCAAGTACAGATACTTTTCCAGCTCCAAGACTAGACTAGAAAAAAAAATCAAAAGTTAGGAGGCAGCTGTCATTTCATTTTTAAGGAGTATACAGGGCTCCTGGAATTCGTGCATCCGTTTTAAAGTATGATTTGTTTAGATACGAGTACTGATAAATTTTTCTTTATTGTCATGTGACAGTTTTTCTAAAACAATACAGACTAATGATTTCAGGACAGTGGTGGAGCGCCAGAGCCAGGTCCCAGCTGCAACCGCTGCAATCCTTGTAGTTCTCATGAAAATGCCAAGTATCAGCACTGGTATCTGAACATCCCTACTTGGTAGTATTCCACAAAACACTAAAAACAGTTCACAAGCAACTGAGAAGTGATATAAAGCAGAGTTACATATCGAGATATGTTAACGCAAACACAGAAACCTAATCACCAGGATGAGGTTATAAAGAGACTGGGTCACACCAAAGGATGTGTCATCGCTCAACATCTGGGGAGTACCCTGGTAAACTAAGTTATTATACAAGGGTGCAAAGCATCATAATGTAGAGTATAGCGTTCACTAGAAGACATCAAAGACTGGGGTACACTGGAAACTAAACCACTACTCTGAAACTAGAAAGCACTCTGCGGCTAACTGAAACTGTATACAAAGGGCATAATCAAGAGCTCAGTGTTCAAATGCCACAGGCTGTGAAGCCAATTTTATAGAGACCTATTTGCATAGGAATGAAACAGAAACTGGGTTATACCAGAGGCCTAACCACTGTTCTGAAGCTAGAAACTGCTCTGTGGCTAACCAACACTGTACACACAGGTCTGGAAGGTGCCATAGTGCAGAGGTTAGTGCTCTACTGCCACTTATAGAGGCCTACTTACACAGTGAGGCAGTGCCACAGCTCTGAGCCTGGAGAGCACTCTGCAGCTAACAGTACAACAAGGACTGGAATCTGCCACTGGCAGAGCCTTGCGCCCAAACAGATGTAGTCCATAGGTTGAATTGGTCTTCTTGATCTGCATATGTATTCTTGAAAGTGCACTTTGCTCCGAGAAACATGTCGGAAGGTTAAAACATTTACATATGCAGCATCCATGTAATGTGTGTGTGTTAGGACATCATAATTAAACTACAACGCGAAGGCCGCTTCTTTTTATGAAGAGAAGACAATAAAGACATAGATACATTTGAATGTTTAACGTTGGTTACTACATATAACAGACTCCAGAAAAGACAGTAGCTGACAGCATCGACCCATGACAGACTTCAGCTTTGGGTAGCCTTTCTTCACCTCACACACTCTGAATGTAGCTGCACCATGTTGGGAGAAGATGATGAAACATTTTTGGGAAGTGGAGGGAGGGGGTTAATATTTAAGTACATTTTTTATTGTTGTGTGGGTCCCATCTGCAAAACATTTTGGAGGCAAAAAGAAGCGAGGGGACTTCTGCCCCAGAGTGAGGGGAAATTTCACCTTTGACAGTTGGCCCAACAATAAGTGTCCCCAATGGGAGAGAACTTCTGTGCTCCTGTGACCGCTCTATACATTTAGATTTCAATTCCCTTTAACTGTCACCAGGGTAGAAAGTGACCCACACCCTGGAACTATTTCCTGGTATACATGAACGGTTTCTTACCTTAGAGCTGTTTCAATCAATGATAAGAACGAGGTGAACTGTGAAACAATGATACTTTTGACATGCCGATCTGTATTTCTCTGTTCTGTCAGTGCATGCATTAAAGCATTTATCTGCAATACAAATGATAACGCCCGTTTGTATGACTACACAACACATTGAAGGGAGTTTACTAAGACTGGAGCAGCCAGGATCTGGGGCAGCCGTGCAGTCGGATTCAAGCTTTCATTCTGAAAGCTTAACTGAACAAGCTGAAGAGAGAAGCTGATTGGTTACTATGCATAGCTGCTTCACATTCTGTCTGCTCCAGTTTTAGTAAATTCCCTCTATTATGTCTCACCCTAGGCTTAAAGTGTATGCAAAGGTTTTTTTGTGTGATTAGTAAAGGGCAGGACACTCTCTTTGGTTTTTATTGCTGTCTGTGTCCCCACAGGGAAGATTTACCCCTCTATTTGTGCCCAAAGTGTGGAGAAGTAAAAACAATTCAGATTTGTTACCGACTCGAGTTTTTTTTTAGAATATGTTAATATATTTCCACGGAATTAATCAAAACTGAAGCAGAATCTAGAGCAGTCGTTCATGGCAACCAATCAGCTTCTCTCTTTCATTTTTAAAGCTTAAATAAACAAAATGAAAAGAGAATCTGATTGGTTGCTATGGGCAACTGCTCCAGATTCTGCCTGCTCTAGTTTTAATAAACTGCCCCCATGTATATTGATAAATTGATTTAACATTACTTCTCTGTTGGTCCGTTTTGCGTTTCAGGAATGCACAGAATCCAATATGGATGCAGTTTGACCTGTGATTGTTGACGTAGTTGGCACTGTGCATCATTATAGTGCCACCTCTTTGCTTTCTCTTTTTTCTTTTAAGCCACTTAGTGCCTTGGAGCGCTATCGCTTTTGCTTGAGAAAGTTGCCTCTAATGAAGACAAAACTAGACGCAGTCCCAACTGCATGATCTACGCCACATCTCCTTGACCTGGATACACAAGTGTCTGAAGTGTTGGACAATTCAACGAGTTTGATGTGCATTTTATACAGAAGAGTCCTTAATTGATTTGGATGGGGCAAGTATATGAGCAGGTTATTTATATGGGATCCTCTGACAAATACGCAAGTTGTATATGGAGCAGAATTCTCATGATTTATATTTTCCTGTTTGAAAGTGTACCAGCAGTTACACAAGTAAAGGCGGCCGCTGTCAGAATACAATAGAAACATTAGCTCTCGCAAGCGCTGATGGAGGAATCTGTTATACTTTCTTTGTTTAGCCCGCAGTTTGAATGAAGAAAATATAACCGTGTATACACAGCCTAAGTGGGGTTTATACCAACATCTGCTGTTTTGTTATGCTATGCTGAATGCTGTGTCCAATTTGAATAGTATTTTAACACGAAGTGAATATACTGTATGTTCTTGTTGGTTCAGTATTGAAACTTTGTAAGGACTAGTATGCAATCAACGTGTCATAACATGACATTATTTCAACTCTGACACTTTACCTAATGACATTATTTATTACATAATAGATAACAAGGATTACTTCTGGAAATGTGAATGGAGTATTTTAAATATATTAACATTTTTATCTCAGTGGCTTTGAAGATATTTGTATTTTTCCAATAAAAATAATTATTGCTTAATTGCTTAGATATAATAATTTATATACCGTGGCGATTGCTTTATATGAAAAAACCTTCCAATTGTCTAGGTTTTTTTTAATCACTATCTGTGTCCCCACAGGAAAGATTATCCACTCTATTTGTACTGGTACTGACTGTCATGGAGGCAATGTGAGGGGAATTTCAAAAATATTGAGCCACCAGAGCAAGAAAAAATACTCCAATTGGAGAGGGGAGACCTGTTCCTATAGCAACTCTTAGAAGATGGTAATTCTATTCACTTTGAAGAGATTTTATCTCATTCCCTGTTCTCTCCAGGACAGGAAATGAAAGGAAATCTCCCCGGCAGAACATAAGCTTGTCAGGTGTGCATACATTTGAGGAAATGCTGTATGTCTTACTTTGGAACTAGACATCCATATCTGATCTTTCTTTTGGCTGTCACTCAGGTCAGACTCTTCATCTGGACATTCCAGCAAATGTTCCAGGCGCACTTCACCTCTGCACATGGGACACTGTGCATTTGACTGTAGGGGAAAATGCAGGTTGAAGATTGAAAGTGTTTTACTGGCTCATTATTTAATAGGAGAAATGAAAAAGAAAGTCTTACCTGTTTGCTGTAAATAACCTGACAAATGCACTCTTTACAAAAGACATGTGCACAGCGGGTTATAACTGGCATGTTCAGAGAGTCTAGACATATAGAACATTCTTCATCTGAGCCTGAGCTTAGCACCAGCTTTATTTTGTTCACCAACTTCTCTTGTAATTCATCTCTGGTTGAACTGGCTGAAAATGTACACGTAAATAGACACACATTAGGTTTTAGTGATCATCCTTTTGACACCTCTTAAGGTAGCAGGGCACCTCAGACTCAACCTCTTCTTGGAGGATTCCAAGAAAAGCACCAGGCCATCTAGGTGGGTATGAAACCTTTCCAGTGTGCCTTGTAACTGCCTCTGGGATTCCACACAGCTGGGTTACCCGAGACATTCCCAGGCCATCTAGGTGGGTATGAAACCTTTCCAGTGTGCCTTGTAACTTCCTCTGGGATTCCACACAGCTGGGTTACCCGAGACATTCCCAGGCTATGTAGGTGGGTATGAAAACAAACCAGTGTGCTCTGAGACTGCTGCTGGGATTCCACACAGCTGGGTTGCCTGAGACATTCCCAGGCTATGTAGGTGGGTATGAAAACTAACCAGTGTGCTCTGAGACTGCCTCTGGGATTCCACACAGCTGGGTTACCCGAGACATTCCCAGGCTATGTAGGTGGGTATGAAAACAAACCAGTGTGCTCTGAGACTGCTGCTGGAATACCACACAGCTGGGTTGCCTGAGACATTCCCAGGCTATGTAGGTGGGTATGAAAACTAACCAGTGTGCTTTGAGACTGCTGCTGGGATTCCACACAGCTGGGTTGCCTGAGACATTCCCAGGCTATGTAGGTGGGTATGAAAACTAACCAGTGTGCTTTGAGACTGCTGCTGGGATTCCACACAGCTGGGTTGCCTGAGACATTCCCAGGCTATCATGGTGGGTATGAAATCTAACCAGTGTGCCCTGGGACCACCTTTAGGATACCACACAGCTGAGTTAGCACAAGACAGTTCCAGGCAATCTAGGTGGGTATTAAATGGTAGCAGTGAGCTCTGACTGCCCCAGGGATTCTACACAGCTGGGTTGCCAAGACATTCCCAGGCTACGTATGAGAGTATGAAACCTTACCAGTGTACCTCACCAGTGTAATTTCCCCACTGGTTATATCAGAGACACTTCTAACGAGTGCCATGAGATATGATGGCCCTTAATAAACGGCTTTCCCTTCTGTTGAACCCACAATACATTATGCCAAGCATGAAAATCTGGTTTTATTAGATAATGCTGGAAATATCAGGCCTACATGTAGCAATGTGTCATAATGTAACAGCCCCATCTAGTGTGTATAAATTATAATCTCACACAAATTGTAAAACACGTATTTTCCATTTTCATGTAAAGGAAGAGAACAATAAATCTGGGCTTAACTGCATATTCTGCACAAGTAATGAAACCAATAATCATACCATACCCGAGAGAGAACTTGACAGTTTGGATGAAACAAGGTGGGGATGACAGCAGAGCTGCCTTAATCTGACAAGCACTGCAAGCACATCAGCATAATGTGTGAGGACTGTCCCTTCATTAAAGTACCTGAAAGACAATGTATGTCTACAGTAAGTACATCAATATTTTATTAGGCCAATAGCATATTATACAATGTTAAAGTCTATGTCATGGCAAAATAAAAATAAAGACATATGGAGTACATATCTTCAATACACGCACATTTCCCCATGTTTTATCCTTTAAAGGAGAACTATGAAGTGAGTGCTTTTCACTCACCCCATAGTTCTAGCCGACCTGTGACAATGAGACTGTCACAGGTCGGCTCAGTAGATCGAGAAGTGAGCGAACACATACCGACATTCACTCACCTCTCGATCCTGTCACGGCTCTCTGCTGTGACAGGGGAGGGGCTGGATTCCCCCCTCCCTGCTAGCACTGCCTGGCGGAGCTGACGGGGGAGGGAACAGCTGGCTCTGCCTCTAGATAGGCAGAGCCAGCTGTCAGTCACGCAGCTGGGTGGATCCCGGCACAATCCGCTACAGCTCGCGGTATACTGAGCTTAGGATGACGGGAGGACGCTAGTTTGTGTCCTCCCCTTACCCTAAGGAGAACTATGGGGAAAAGCCTTAACCCCATAGTTCTCCTTTAAAGGCCCTACAAGTATATAGACAAATTCCTGCTGATCTGCCAGAAATGCACTCACCTCCTAAAGAGGAACTTTATTTATATCATAAAAATAACAACAAAGGCACCTTTATAAATGTTTAGTAATAACAATCTACAAACACATACTAAGAGCTAATTGCAGATTTTGTATTATTCTTTGCATACCTTGTTTTTCTTTTCCTCCCCATTCTTCTCACAGTGACATTTTTACTAAGGACAGATGAATCCACCTCCCTTTACTTCCTGGAACTCTGGCACATGTGACTAGGACATGTGACCATGCACATCATCTCAGGGGAGGAAAAGGCCTTTCCCTGAGATCTCATGAGATTACAGATGAGATTTCCCAGCAATGCTCTGCTGATGTAACCTTCCCAGGATACAATGCCTGGGCACGGATTACATCACTTTTGCCAAGAGAACCAGGAAGTAAAAAACAAGAAATTGTAAGTAAAATAAAAATATGTTTAACTAATGAATGTAACACAATTACATATTAACATACAGAGCTATATGATTTTTGGCTAAAGGTCCTCTTTAAGTCCTGTAGTGGGCTGACAACACAGCTTTTTCATTCATTGTTCATTGTTAGGGTTCACATACAGTATTGAACCCAACGGCTTCAATACTTTCTGAAACACTGACCTGGAACAAGTATGCGGATCAGGAATGTAACTCAAAAGTATCTGTATATTTGTTCTATGTCAGTGACTCGTACTAAAGTCAGTGGATCCATGTGACAGTCAGGCAGCTAGTCTTTTCAGAGGGAGAGTTCAGCAATGGTAGGTTTCCTTTAGGGCTGGTAATGATTAAAATTTTCCGGTTCGATTAATAAAATTTTTTTTAATCGATTAATTTCGATTATAACGCACATACAGATCCAACTACATTGGTCTATACACATACAGCACAGCAATGAAGTAATAACATGAACTAGGATCACACTAATCCAGCACGTTATTATTCTGAGTTGCCCCACTCAAGCGGCGGCCATATTGAGTGGGGCAACTCAGAATAATAAGCAATTTCAGGGAGGTGCCCTCTCCCGCCCCCATCCGCGGAGAGGGGGTTAGGGGGGGGCTGGGAGAGAGCACCCCCCTGAAATGATGGCCGATAGCACAGGAAGCAATAGCTTCTATGCTATCTGCAGACTTTTTTTTTTAGTATTCTGCCAGTTGCAGTCGTCAGAATAAAGAAAAAAAAAGGCATAAGAATGCATAGCTAGATTCCTATTGGCTATTTCACTTTGCAATAGCCTAAAGCAAACTAGCTATTGCACCCGCCCCCTGCTGCTTTCAAATCACCAGAAGAGGACCTGATAGAAAATTTCAGGTCCCCCTCTGCTGATTGACAGCAGGAGTGGGCGGGTGCATTAGCTAGTTTGCTATTGGCTATTGCAAAGTGCAATAGCCAATAGGAATCTAGCTATGCAATCGTATGCCTTTTTTTTCTTTTCTGACTGACGGTCAGGCCGCGGCTCCCGATGTCAGAAAAGAAAAAAAAAAAGATCACAGGGAAAGGTTTAATGTGCTTGATTGAGCAGATTAAACCTTTCCGATAAAAAGTGTTTCTCTCCCGGCCGGGATGTGTACTCACCGGCCCAAGCGGCTCCATCGGATAACGAAGGGAAGGAGTCCAGTGACGTCGATGTCCGTGACGTCACCGGATCTCCGACGGAAGACCCAGAAGCCGGCGGAGAGGTGAGTACGGATCAAAAGAACTTTGATCGATCAAAATAATTAACGATTAATCGAGGGATTCATCGTTAATTTCCACAGCCCTAGTTTCCTTTAATAATATCCAATAGGCCTCCATGAATTACAAGGAGGGGTCAGAAGCATACAGTTTTTAATGCAAACCCATACCTGCTAATAATAAGTTTTCCTTCATTCTGCATTGATTCGTATATTCGTTTTTCCTCTGATGAAAGTTTGATGTGCTGGACAAAAACTTTACGTTCTGGCAGCTGCAGTACAGGCTTTCCTTTCACTTTAGTTTTTTTTGTCCTCCTCAAGGTGATATTTTTAATGAGTGCTTGTAATCGGCTATAAGAAATATTTATGTTATCATATATATTAATGCAATTATGGTTAACAAGATTCAATGTTTCATATATAAATCCACAATATATAAAGATAAGCCTTTAATGCTGGCCCTAACTTTCCCCAGTGTTGCTACTGTTATAGAATTTTTTTCCATGTACTTAGAAATTCTTCTTATGGTTTCTTTAGCACGGGGTAATTAACAGTAAATTCTAATGGGTGGGCCTCTCTTTACACTTCTCTGTCTGTTTAATTTTTATGTCATGTTTGTGAACCTTTAAAGCCAATCTGTGATTTGCCCATGCAGGGCAAAGCAACAGGTTTTCATTAATACCCAGCCCCCAGCAGCACCTACTTCTCCTTTTCTTCACTCCCCCACCATGAGCAAACAAAATGGCCAGTACTTCCGGGTATGGACTATTCACAACCATTTGATGCCTCTCCACAGACCATTGCTATCCTCCTCTTCCATAATTGCAATCGTTTGTGATGAAGCCACACATCACTTCCTTGAAGTTAAAATCAGCTTTATTTTCCAAGCACCAAAACAGTTAGACACTCCACCCAGTAGCCTCCTCTAACATATTTGCCTGTAATGGTTCCTAACCATAGAGCAAGAGGAGAAGGAAATTAACATTACTCATTTATAATCTATAATAGCTAATGCTCTCTTCAGGAATAAAATAGAAAAAAGAAGAACAGGAAAAAGAAAGGAGTAAGGGGGAGGGGAAGAGAAAAACAGAAGGGGGGGGGGGAAATAAGGGAAGAAGCAAGTTGGGTGGTAAAAAAGGGGAAGGGGTGTGAGGTATTGAAAGAAAAAAAAATAAGAACAAGGTAGGAGGAGGAGGAAGGGGGTACTGAAATTTCATCTTGGGAAGAAAAACCACTCATGGGTTGCATTTTGACTGGCATTTGTCACATTATGATGAAACATATGGCACCCTCATTTTGCTTTATAATTTTTATTTTGGTGCATACCTAATATTTACTTCTCCTCCATATCCTCCTGCTCTATAAGTAAGCTCCATTAGGGGTACATATGTTAGACACTCCACCCAGCAGCCGTTCTCTAACAGTTCTGGGTCTTGGAAAATATAGTTGATTTTAACTTGGAAGTGATCTGCAGCTAAATCACAAACTTCTGGCTATGAAGGAGCAAGCTACTCTCTCCCTTTCCTGTTGGGTCATCTGCTGGTGGATTACCCTTGTTAATCCTTTTGGCATATTAAAGTGTTGTGGGTGACAGAAGAGGGGGCAATGTCTCTAATTGGTTCACACAGTAGAGAGAACCAGATTTATACCCCACAGATTCACAGGGAAGAAAAGGAGATGTCCATTCTCCTGAGCACACTAGCAAAACACTGATACATGATGGTTGTGGGTGGGGTTATTCTGTGTGGGCTAACCTTTATTTGTTGCCAATATCCATGTATCCTGAAGTTGGCAGTAAAAATCCAGTCTTAGAATGCCTGTGTCCCTCAATGGACAAGAAGGGAATAAGGCATGCACGCAGAGGCAGTGTGATGCTTTGTGCAATGTTCTGCTGGGAAACCTTGGGTCCTGCCATTCATGTGGATGTTACATATAACACATACCACATACCTAAACATTGTTGCTGACCAAGTACATGCAAATGGTAATCTCTGATGGCAGTGGCCTCTATCAGCAGGATAATTCTCCCCGCCACACTGCACAATTGGTACAAGAATGGTTTGAGGAACACAACAACAAGTTTGAGGTGTTGACTTCGCCTCCGAATTTTCAAGATATCATTCCAATCGAGCATCTGTGAGATGTGCTGGAAAAACAAGTCAGATCCATGGAGGCCCCACTTCACAACTTACAGGACTCAAAGGATCTGCTACTGACGGCTTGGTGCCAGAACCCACAGCGTAGCTTCAGAGGTCTAGTGGAGTCCATGCGTCGATGGGTCAGAGGTGTTTTGGCGACAAAAGGGGGGCCTACTCAATATTAAGCAGGTGGTCATAATGTTATGGCTGATCTGAGTATAAGGATACTGCTAAGTAGAGGAATTTACACAGTGTAAGGTGCGCAACAACTCTTCAAAAACAAAAGCTCTGTGTAAGCAGGCTGTGTGCCTGTACATTGATGCTTTTTTTCAGGCTTGACTAGAGTACACATTACAGATAATTAAGCGTAGCAGTAAACTGTTATGGTTTGATAGATCGGCAGAGCTACTTCAAGGAAAATATCCTAATAAAAAGCATTATCATACCGCAATCCTCCTTCATCTCCCATGCTGACTGGTCTCTGGATTGTACGGTGCCACCACTCCCTGTCTGTGAATGGTTTCAGTTTTAAGAACGAGAGAATAGACCACAAATCCTTCAAGGAGTTCTGAATAGGGGTACCTATGTTACCACACAAAAGACTGAAATCAGAAATAAGAAACCAACAACACAAGCGACTGCACATTGGCTGCCATTGCTGGCTTCCTAAAAATGAGTTGCCGGTCTGCTATTTTGACTCTCTGGTGTCAGTTCTTTGAATCACTGACCTAGAACGTGTATGCAAATCAGTAAAGTGTGAAGTCCTTATCGGCATACAGGTTTTGGCTAGTAGTACTAGTAGTTAGTTACATCCAACTGGACATGTCATGTAATGCTGAAGATGTTTCCTAGCTTATCCAAGGACATTCTTCCGTTGCAATTATTATTATTATCATACAGGATTTATATAGTGCCAGCAGTTTGTGCAGCACTTTACATCAGAAGATGTGGCTTGGATAAGCTAGGGAACTACAGAACAAATCAAGCTGAAATGTAACTTACTACTACGAGCTATACCATGACTTGGATAAATGAGAACCTTCACAGACATAATTGTTGTGGGTTACTGGCTCAAAGCATTGAGACTAGAGGACAGCATGACAGTCAGACAACTAGCACTTGCAGGATAAGTCAGCAGTAGCTGCCTCAATGATTTTACCAGGTAAGGTGTTGTTTAAAATACTATCACTACAATTTTTTTTGTTGGGGGCAGAGTTTTTACCTTTTAGTTGTATGTAACTTACATCACAAATCAGTTTTCAACAGCAATATTTGTTATTTGTGCTGCTGCATTCACATTAAATTATACATTCTTTGATACACTTACGGATGGTGGCAGTGCTTTACCTGTTAGCAAAATGACAACAAATAAACCTTCTAGCATACTGCCATCCTAAGGCTCTATACATACAGATGTTCCTTGCTTATCGACTTACCTGTTTTGCGACCACTCGCACTTACGGCGGACCGCCGATCGACCTCCGACCTTGCGTGTCAACGTCAGTGCGCCGTGTCGCCGGCGGAAGTGGTGTCCTCCGGTAAGTATTTTCAGTGCCCGATGTACAGTACACTGTTCGGTACTGTACATCGACAACGCTATACAGTACTGTACTAATGCAGTACAGTACTGTATAGAGTTCCTCACTTAAGGACCAATTCGTTTAACGACCCTGGTCATAGGAACGGAACTTGGTCGTTAAGTGAGGAATACCTGTATTGGCAGGCTAACTAATGTTAAACAGAATTCACAGGCAGAAAAAATGGATTTTAGTACTTACTCTAAAATCTGTTTCTTGGCATTCATTAAGGGACACAGGATTTAGTAATTCAGAGACAAGTTTTACAGCCTTGTGCTGTCACAATAATTGCATAAAAATATGACAGTGCATAGCCAAAGTTAATATTCATATAAATGTGAAATGAGAATCACAATGTTCCTTAAAGGAGAACTATGAGGCGAGTGACAATTATTCAGCCTCATAGTTCTAGCCGACTTGTGACAATGAAACAGGTTGGTTCAATAGATCGGGAAGTGAGCGAAAACATACCGTCGCTCGCTGACTTCTCGATCTATCCCTGCAGAGAGCCGTGACTGTCACTCACGGCTCCCTGCAGGGATTCCCCTCCCCTGTCCGATCCTCCACCGCTGACTGGCGGATCGGACAGCTGGCTCTGCCTATAGATAGGCAGAGCCAGCTGTCAATCACACAGCTGGGTGGATCTCGACAGTAATGTTGGGATCCGTCCCGGCTGCGGCATCTCAGTATACTCAGTATATACTGTAGCTCACGGTATACTGAGCTTAGGGTGACGGGAGGACGCTAGTTTGTGTCTCTGTCTTAACTAGCACTTCCTGTCCTACGGAGTCTGTGCGGGTGCACGCTGCTGCATTTACTTACCTTGTGTCTCTCCTAGTCTCCCGGCCAAACATCTGAACTGCGCATGCGCCTGCCCCAAGATCCTCCAGATGTTTGGACAGGAGCATGTTTTTGCATATATCTACTGCTTGCTAGGAATAGATATATACAAAAACCGCTGAGGGTTTAATAACCCTTTAAACACTTGTGCATTCTTAAAAAGCAGGGTCAGTGTTTTAAGACAGGATATAGCTGGATCCACAGTGGGGATTGTCCCACGTCTAAGTAAAAGCCTCCTCAAACAGATATTGGTCAGAAAAATATTTTGGAGTAGTGAAGAACTTATCAGGAGTTTTCGAGTCTCCATACAGAACAGGTTGAAGTAAGGGGTGTACTTGAGAGGTTTTGATAAGCTTGGGGCCTACAAATTTGTTAACCTTTTCTCAGTAGAGAAAAGATGTCCTTCCTCCTAGGACACCATCATAAAACTGAAGCATGATGAGAGTGGGAAGGGTTATACCTGGCTGGCCAACTGCTTTTTTGTTTGCCAGTTTGTAATTCCTCCGGTATAATCCAATTGTCTCTGACTTACTGAATTCTGTGTCCTTGAATGAATGACAAAGAAAAAGGCTATTTAAATATAACAGGAGAATGCAAGACCTATACTCAGAAGCTTTATTGTCTATGACAAAAAACACAGGTCATACCCGTTAGTACCCATCGCCTCTCTGAATCCAGGTTGTGAACAGCTTTTGTTTGCTGGGCATTTGGGTTTCTAATTGTGTGTCCTTCATCCAACACAACTCTCAGCCACCTTATTTTATGTAGTGGACTCTCATTCTGAAAGAGGAAAAGAATGATTGATACCTGTAAAGCACCAAACAAGACTTTACAAACAGTAAAACCAGAACAGCAGTAACAGCATTTAACCACAAATGTGCAGTACAAGAACCCTCATCTATGCACATCTCAAACTGGAGAGTAAAGATCTGGTTTGCCTCCTGTGTGATACTGTCCTTCACATTGATGGACCAACAGTAAGCTGCCAGAGCATGAATTTTCCAGCTCAAGTAAACATTTGCAAACAGTAAAAAAGCACTTGTGGTTTTGGGGATTTTAGGTTGCGCAGTCCAACAGAGGGGGTGGGCATAAGGAAACAACTACTAGAAGGCACAATAAAAACTGTATAAAAAGTGGGGACTGCTTGCAGGACAATACCCCTGAAGGTGTCACCAGATGAGGCTACAGCCTCCACCTAGAAATAAAAACATGAGAAAAAAGCCCAGGTGGGAACCAATACCTGATGAACAAGAAAATATCCACATATCTAGTGAGGAGTGTCTTGACAGGGAAAGGCGAACATTGTTCCATTAGTTTGGATGCTGGTCTACCTGATCCACCTACAAGGGTGAAATGAAAACGAAAGCACCATACAGAGACCAACAAGTCCACTTTTACAATTAAAACCCCCCCCATTCCTCTCTTCTTGTTACCTTTCTTTCCCTCTCCTCACCCTTATGACTTACCCGCTTATATTATCTGGAGGTTCCATCGCTGAAAATTAAAAATGTCCTAGGTAAGACGCAAGTCCTAGAGCTCAACTCACCTGGTCCCTTTAAAGGAAGGAAACACCCTTGGTGCGAAGCCCTACAATAAACTTTGTGCTGTAATATGCTGCTTATCCTGAAGAACATAAAAGTCAAAGATTCAGAGATGCTCCTGACTCCCAAGGTCCAACAAAATGTCAGAGTCCATGGAGCAACAGTGAGGAGCCTTATTAGGTTGACTGGGTCAATCCAGAGAAAGAAAGATTGCCAGGAAGCCGGAAGCCCCCCTCTCGGGTTTGCAAAGCAGGAAGAAGTGTGGGAGGAGGAAATGTCCGGTTCTTGGTAAATAGATCCTGGGGAGACACCAGAGCATTCCCTCAAAATACTAACATACAAAGCCACCCACAACTCTGCGCCGGGCTAAATCACTTCCCTCATCTCAAAATAACTCCCAAACCATCCGCTCTGCGCCTCCGAGGACCACCAAGATTTCTCCAGAACCTCTCCCATCCTTTGGAACTCCCTACTGTCTGTCTTTAGGCAATGCCTAAAAACTCCTGAGGGAAGCTTATTCCTCCTAAAAACTGTACTGTTGCTCCTTCAATTAGCTCATTTCTCACAGTTATTACCTTTTGTATCACTTGCCTCTCCTTTTAGATTGTAAGCTCTTAAGAGCAGTATACTACTAATCCTTTTGTATTGTAACTGTACCAACTTCCCTTTTCCCCATTTTGCAAAGCGTTGTGCAAACTGTTGACGCTATATAAATCCTGTATAATAATAATAGTTTTAATAATACTATTATATATTAATACTATTAATATATATTATATAATAATACCTTGCTACTGTCAGAGGATTTCTGCACCTGAAAAAACTCCCCTTGCCCAATGAAATGTCAGAATCCATGCAGCAAAGGTCAGGTGCCTTACCAAACTAACGGAAAACAGCTGTCTGGGTTAATCCAGAGGCCTAGCTGCTGGTGAACAGATCCTGAGAACAGAACACCAAAGTATTCCCCGCGACTTGTCAAATAATTCCTGCAGGTGGAAATGAGCCTCCTGTGAGGAGCGGAAGAGAGTGCTGGGGAAGAAGGTTACGTCTGTAATCCTAAAATATCACATCCACCTACCCACCAGTCTGCAAGGATTACCAAACATCTCCCCACATTGGAAACTGGGGGCACACTTTCATGCTGATGAAAGGCTACTTATCTTTGACTTTGCGGCTGGCCTGAGAACCAAGTTTGGGAGACCAAGGCGTGTATACCTAAAGAATAGAGGAGTACATTCAAGAATAGTCTGGTCAAGGAGAGATTGGGACAACTTAAGTAATGATCACTATGACCGATGGCTCAGAAGGCGCCAGGGCAGCATGCAGATTAGCCATAGAATCAGCAGCCTCTACAATCGGCACTAGCCAGGTCATGGGTGAATTGAGCCACAAAGTGACTATAGTAGAGACCTCGGCCAATAAGAGGGAGGACTCTGATGACGAGTGGGAATCTATAATCATCAGAGAACAGGATTCCAGGTCACCTAATAGAGCAGGACTATCCTCCCCGTGTCTGGAAACATACAACTTGCAACATCACAGCGGTAAGGCAACGTAAAGCGTAAGGCCTCAGGTTCTCACAAAACCCACACAGCTGGTAAAACATGAGGGTCAGATGGTAGAGGTGGCTAAAGTCACTGCAGGTGGGCAATGGGAATGAATCGAGAATTGGAGTTCCACGTGGTTCTTTGCAAAGCAGCAACAGCAATGGGGAGATGTCTCCTTGACACAGAACGCATGAAAGAGTTAAATGCACGCAACACTCCATCCAGCTGATAAAGTCAGTGCTCAGTCCCTCAGCATTAACCCATTCCACGGTAGGAAACAGAAGTAATAATTTTAAAGGTGCTCATTAATCTGAACAAATTAAGTAGCTCCCGGTGCTCAGCCCACATGGCCTACTCACAGAGTAACTCAATACAGACACGGACAAGCGCTGAAACAAGTCCAACGGGCATACAGGCACGGCGGGTCTCCCCTGATGGATCGGAGGAGAGATTAGTGGCTTCCAGTCGTCGCCCCCCTCCCAATCCCGAGGTCTTCTGTGCCTAGTGCGGGCCCGGCACAGCGGCTCTGTCACCGGAGATCATCACATGATCTCCCTCTGATCTCTACTCCAATCTCTGAATGCAGCAGTGATGTATATTACATCACTTCCGCATTCAGCTGTCATTCTCCGGCTTCTGTAGCTGGAGGGAAGCAGCTGAAGCAAAGGGGTTATCCCAGGCAGGCCTACAGTTTTTTGTTTGACACGGTCTAATCCTCCTGTAGGCAGCAGTATAAACAGAAGGTAAAAAAACTCACTTTGTCCCTCAATGGACAAGAAAGAAAATCTAATTAAAGCACTTCTGATGGGGCAGGTAATAACCTAAACAGAGTATGAGAGCAGCAACCTACATGTGACCGCTGAGCTGCCTACAGGCTTATGAAACCTACCGAGAAGGCCAAGCATGGTCAGTGAGAAGTCAGTATTTGCACAGGCAGGTTTAGGGACATCTGGGGCTCCTGGAAGTACATTTCAAGAGGATGAAACCTGCTAGTCCTTGCAGTTATTATATCAATTAAACTGTCATGAAAGATTTGCTTCTATGCTAACAATTTAAGAATCCCTATTTACATCAGAACTATTCCCTTAACCTTTTCACTGTAGGAAGTATAGCCTCGATCAGGGAAATTAAAGAGTTAATATAAGATCGCAGCCATATATGTGGTATGCTGCCAGATTTTCTTCTGTTGTATAAGCAGCCATACGCTCGTTTTAAATTTTACTGACCATCCTCTCTTTATGTTATAGAAGTGATTTGAGCAGTTGTAGATTTATCAACCTCTAATAACTCCATAAGGTGAACCTGTCCCCACCAGTATTACTGCCCCCAAAATGGTCACTGACCCTTGTCAGCCTGCCATGTCAGACAGGGCCGTGCTGTGTGGCAGAGCTGTATAAATCTCCGGACTAGATAGACAGAAACACAGATATTTGGCCAGGCAATCCAGCTCTGATTTATGCATTTAATCTGTATGGAGGTTTGCCTGAAGTTCGGTCTTACAAAAATGAAACTCTACTACATAAGCATACCAGCTGACTTACGCCATAATCATGAGTTACCACACTGTACGTTGTTAATACAACATCCTGCTTGGAAAGAAAGTCTGGATTTTTGTTGCGTTCAGATCCATAGTAGAGGTAAATATTTAATTTGGCATCTGCTTTTACATGTTGCTCAAACTGATCCTGAGAAAAAAAAAAAGATGTAGGGTTATTTAATAAAACTGACAGATTAAAGGAAATGATTAAAAAGACATTCTAACCTAATATAAAATACAATTGATCAATACAATTCTGCTAAAATATGCTGTTGTAAGCAATTTGCTGCTGCAGAAATGCCGTTAATGCATTTGTATGTTAGTGAATTTGCACTGCCCAACAGGGTTCAGAATAGGTAATAAGCAAAGTCCTAGTTGGTGAATTCAAATAGTTCCCCCACCAACATGACCAGCTAGTAAAACGCTACAACATGCCATAAATTCAGACTAATGTTGGTAAGAACATCTGAACTAACAGTGTTCCAGAATGAAGTTGTGCACAGTTTGATTGGGACAAGGCAGAGAAAGGACACAAATCATACTTACAATCCAGTTACTCAGCACTGACAGGGGACAAATGATTAGAGTTGTTCTAGGATGTTTCTGTGCTTTACATTTTGAAGGATTATCAGTTAGGGGTTTAACTGAAACAAACAAAGCAGGAAGAGATCATTATTATTGTACACTAATAATTTCACTGTAGTCAAAGACTTTTCCCTACAACAATCCATTTCTTTGGTCCAACTCTGGCTTGTTTGTTACCTGTGAAGCCATCACATCCATAAAAAAGAATGGTTATATGCTCATTGGACAAGCAGTGCTGTACACAAAGTGCAGTCAGCATTTGTCAGACCAGTAAAATGCTATTATTAGCATTGTATAGGGCTGCTACCCTTCCTGGGTAGTTTCTTTCAGGAAACAGATGGATCTTAATGGCATGACACATGTGATTCAATGGGGCTGGTTTGTTAAAATTGTACAAAGAAACATTTACATACAACTGAGATTGTTAGGCAGTAACAACCAATCAGGCTTTACCTTTCATTGTATAGAAACATTTCCAATTGGTTGCCTAAGTTGATGACTTCATTTTGTGGTCATTTTCTTTTCTCTATTTTTAACAAACCAAAGTGAACCACAGGGAAAGAGAATACTATGTGTACCATAAATGTATAATATAGAATGATGTCAGCTGCCTACTAGAGGAAACAGACCAGCCCCTGTGGTTTTATGTCCTTGAATGCACTTCATTTGATCCTCTATGCAGTGCTACATCAACGCTAATACAAAATAGGAATTAAAAGACAGAAAATATTTGTTTTTCAGCATGACCCTGCTGCTATGTAGTCTTCTATTCACCTTTTTAGTAGGTGTCAACTCAAACCATTGCCCTCTTGGAGAGTTTCAGGCATTGCTGCTGTCCAACATTTTTGGGTGTGCCCAGGAACCCACTGGCCACTGTGGTTCCTCTTGCTGACCCTTATGTCACTGCACTTGTATGAATATACTGTAACTCATTATTTGAACAGCGACAAGGGCAACAAAAGGCAGACTAAAGGTATATTAACAATTATGTTGAAAAAAATAGCATCACATCCTTTATTAAAAGGAGAACTATGAGGTGAGTGATTTTCACTCACCTCATAGTTCTAGCCGACCTGTGACAATGAGACTGTCACAGGTCGGCTCAGTAGATCGAGAAGTGAGCGAACATATACCAGCGTTCGCTCACCTCTCGATCCTGTCAAGGCTCTCTGCCGTGACAGGGGAGGGGCTGGATTCTCCTCTCCCCGCTCCGATCCGCCAGCGCTGACTGGCGGATCTGACGGGGGAGGGGGCATACAGCTGGCTCTGCCTCTAGATAGGCAGAGCCAGCTGTCACTCACGCAGCTGGGCGGATCTCGACATCGATGTCAGGATCCGCTCCGGCGTCTCAGTATACCGCGAGCTGTAGCTCGTGGTATACTGAGCTTAGGGTAACGGGAGGACGCTAGTTTGTGTCCTCCCGTTACCCTAAGGAGAACTATGGGGAAAAGCCCTGACCCCATAGTTCTCCTTTAATGATGAGTCCTCTACTTTAGCACATGCTCAGCTTTAATATCCACCACACAGTCATACATTATCACAAACATCACAAAAAGTCAGAACATTGTGAATAGTAAACACCAACCTGTGCCTTTTATCGTTGTGCCTTTCATCTTTGTTTTTTCCTTCACAGCTGGGGCAGTGCCAAAGAGAGCCATGGCAAACTGATCATCATCCACAACATTGCATGTCGGAGGAGCTGCAAAGTCAAAATGTTTAATGTAAAGCAGATCCTGCAATCTTAAAGTAGAACTAAAGTCAATACTTTTTTAGATTTAGCTATTGGTAAGTGCTTACAACCACTTTAAGGTTTTTATTGCTGTCTGTGTCCCTGTTTAGGAGGTTCACCCTTCTATTTGTCTTGATGACCATTATCACAGAGAGTGAAAGAAATCTAACATTTTGAGTTGTCACCAGAACAGGAATAGAGAGAAAATCGTCCAGTGGAGATACCAGTTTGGTGACCCTGGTAACTTTAGAGGGATTTCCTTTTCACTTCCACAGGAAATTAAGGGAATATAAAAAAAATGACAGGGGTTATAACCCTCCTTTACTCAATCCAACATAAAATAAAAATAAAAAAGTGTAGGCTTTAGTTACTCTTCACACTTATAACTGTACACTCAAAAACCTGAACCGCCAATTATAAACTGTAACCACAGGTCATGACGGCATTAAAGCATAAATCAGCGAAAAAACCCACCCAGTACTTCTCTGCAATACACAATTTGCCCATGTCTTATCCTTTTAAAAAGGAGTTTGTACAGCAGACCAGGTTGCAGCTTTACAAATCTGAGAAACAGAGGTCTGATGTTGAAAAGCCCAAGAGGAGCTCCCTGCCTGGTCTTTAAAGAGAAAAGGAGGAATTTCATCATGTAGCGGATATGCCCGCACAATTGACAACGGTCAAGTCCACTTAGGAGTAGTAAATGTAGAAGCAGGAGTACCCCTTTAAGGACCTTCTGGAATGAAAACAGGGAACCTGTGTCCCTTAACCACTTGAGGGCCAGGGTGTTAAACCCCCTTCCTGTCCAGTCCATTCTTCAGTATTCAGCTCGGACGTACTTTGACATTTACTCAGTCATGCAACACCATACCAAAATAAATGTTATACCATTTTTTGGTGACAGATAGAGCTTTTCCCCTACATTACATTGTGAAACATTTATTATTACTCTTATCTACCAGTTTTCTGGTAGATTTCAAGTCTTAAAATAGCGCACACCCACAAAAAAACTACAATACCTAAAATTGCTCATAGGCAACGCTTTACAAGCTTTTACCGCTCATCAGTTTAGTGTTACGTCTGGATGATTGGAATGCTCTCGGTCTCGATCCTTTGATGTAAACCAGGTAAAAGCTTTAGCAAAGAAAAGCTATAGATCAACGAGTACTGATCCCACAGCACCACCAGAGCATCCGACAAACAGCCACATGCCCTGGAGACGAATCTGCCCAGCTTCTGTTTGAACCGAGAAGCTAGAAGAACTCCATCCAGGACAGGAGGTACTCTACCTCTGTCGCCGCTGGATTCCCTAATCCCTTGTGGGGCATTTAACAGATATTCCGGCCTAGGTTTTTGTTCCCTTCTCACCTTTTATTTTTCGTGGGATCCATTCATCCTCCTCTTCAGAGTCGTTGAATGAATACTTGGCTTTTCCAGCTTTTTGCCTTTGAGAGTAAAAAACAGTTAAAATTAAGAAAACAGTACTGCTGTGACCAGTATCCAACTCTTTGGGAGCTCATATTAAAGTGATGTTAAAGTCAAAACGACTTGAAGCCATTTCAAATGCTGCTGAAATCCCTTACAATGGATGCTGCTCCTTGATGTTTAAAAGTTTTAGTTTCCTGCAGAATCAGGTGTTCCCCTGAGCACTGGTCCCGACTTCATGTTTTAGACTGACTCCTTTGTCAAGCAGAGTGTAATGCAGTCACCCTTGAGTGTGCTAGTAAGCTGTGTACATCTCTACAGACACAGCAAAACAAGCTTCTCCCCTCCCCCCTTCTACAAGCTAGTAGATGAACAGTTGCACTGTCCTTTGTGATCTTCTACTGGACAGGAAGTTCAGGGAAGCTGAGCTGAGAGACTTGGAAGCAGCCATTCAGAAACATGATTGATGATTTTAAGTGTTTGGGCAAAAAAGTAAAGCAATGCTCTGCTGGGCAAAGCATATTTGTTTGATCTGGATTCATTATCGAAAAAAAAGTTTACTACTTTAACCTTTTCAGAGGCAAACTAACAAATTTCAAAAAGGTTTCTAAAATATTTCAACATTTAGATACTAGTTTATATGGTCTACAACAACAAAATCCTAAAGCTTTTTATCTGATGTAAGTATAAGTATGGCCCCTTATTGGACAGGGGAACTCATTTTTCACCCAATCTGTCAATATGCAGATCACTTACAATGTGGGCAGAAATGCAGTAAAAACCCACCACTGAAAGCATTATGTACATGTAGAGGGTATCACTGCTACTGCAGAAGAAGCACGGTGCAGATTATTGACTGCTGAGGGCTGAAGGAAAACGAACGCCGTGCCTCTTCTCTAATGAATAAACTAAGCAATGTACAATACGTATATTTCACTGATCATTTTCAGGAATCTGACATGACATGGGCGAATGTTAGTATTAGAGCTACATGCTTGGGCACATTATACATATTAATCTTTATGAGATGTGCCATGTGAAAAGAATGGATTAGGGCTGCAACAACTAATCGACATAATCGATTATTGAAAAAGTTGTCAACTTTTTCATTCATCGATTAATCGGTTTCAGATTGGTTCGCCCTGTTCACGGCTCCACACACAATGCGCGCCACACCTCCTCCCCACCTCACGCTTGCCGCTGGCAGACCCGCCTGGCTGCACCCACGCCGCACCTCCTCCCCGCCTCACGCTCACCGCCCCCCCCCATCCCCCATCTGCACAGAGGAGCCATTTTTTAAAATTTATTTTATTTTTTATCCGATTAACCGATTAATCGAACTTAATAATCGGCTAACTAATCGATTTTGAAAATAATCGTTAGCTGCAGCTCTAGAATGGATTCATATGTTAGGTATAAAACAAATTATATATAATTATATAGATAGTCCAAATCCACAGTAATAGTATTATATACCTTTTAGGCCGAGCTTTAGTTTCTCCTTTGCTGCTGCTGGCACCTTCATTTGTTTCTTTAGCAGAAGAAAAACAAAAAAACAAACAGGGGAAAATGTTAATACTTAAAATACTGCCATCTACTGGTTGAATATATGAATGCCAAAGAACATAAGATTTTCATACTCCCCAATAACATCCTTTTCTTGGAGCACACTGAAGGACACAAAGTCTTTCACCTTCAGGGTTAAATATACTCCCATCTACAGGAGGATTGGACACTGGAAAAATTGGCAAACAAAAAAAAACAAAAAAACTGTAGGACAGTCCAGGATAGCTTCTCCTACTACCATCAGGCATCAGTTTTGTAGCAAAGCAGTACCGAGAGCATGGTCATAAAACACAAAAGGATGTCCTTCAATGGGCTCCAAGATAAGGATTATTCATCCTATTTTCTTTCTCGCCCATTGAAGGACAGGAAGTCTCTCTCTCACCTTCGGGACACCCAAAAGCAAGAGAAAACTGAACTTGCAGCAGCTTAACAGGCGCCTAGAGCACCAATATCCGAAGCTGGCATTTCATGAGGACGAACTCCCACCTGGTAAGGAGAATGTAAAAAGAAAACCAAAAGACCAGGTGGTAATTTAGCATAGGTAACGATGCCTGACGCCAGAGAACAGAGAATCAGAAAATACTCACATTCTAGTGAGGATTGTCTCAAGGTGTGAGGAAAAAACATTGAATTATAGACCAGAAGTGTGCAAAGTGGTCTGCCTGATCCAACCAGGAGGGCGGAACCAAAAAGAATTTCCCTGTAGGAAAAGCCTCACAGCCTGGACCATGATCAAGGAAATGGGACTAGGAGAGATTATCTTGAGCTGGGCTAGTTTTTTGTATTGTTTGCCAGTACCCAATCCTCCTGTAGGTGGCAGTATAACTTGAAGGTGAATGGCTGTGTCCTTCGATGGACAAAAAAGAAAAGCCATTGTCTTTTGGAAGCTTGGTCACAGATTAAAAATGCTAATTAGAAATTCCATCTGAACAAATCTTTTTAGTTTAGATGAAATATACAGACAGACTGCAGAGCATTTCTCAAAGACTCTTGTTCCAAAATGAGGAAGCAGATTTCGTTTTAGCAAGAGGAAAGACTTTTACAGTTTCTAGTGAAGAAAAAACAATGGCAATTTACTAGTTAATAGATGTCCTCCAAGCCATATTTACACCGAGTGGTAACACAGCTGAAACACAATTTCAGAAACATATTCCTTTTTGTGCAAAGTTCTTGCTGAATATGGATTTCAGAGACGAGAAATCTCTTTAGAAAGCAGCAGTATGGTCATAAAGCGGCCACACCGTTGCTAAGGGAAAATCTATAACAACTCCTGCAAATTGAAAAAATACAGCTATGTGCTTTACAAATGTGCACTGTGCTTCACTGGCTTCAGAAGTCCAAAGCTGGAGGAGCACAATAATAAGAAATAGAAGCGGTATTAAAAAAAAAGCGGAGGCCGTGTAAAGTCACATGATCAGCTCTGCTGCGTTAAACAGTGAGAAGTCTGTATGATATCACAGGCTGTATACTGCAGCCCCCACTTTTAAATGGTCAGGTCATGGTAAGCGATATCCACTCTCAGTTATAAACACGTGCCTTAGTATTCCTAGTAGGGATGCACCCATACCAGCATTGGTGCCGATACCGAGTATGTGGGCGAGTAATCAATCGTACTCGCCCAAATGCTCCCGATACTTATCCTGATACCGGAACTTTCAGTATCAGGAACCCGGACAGCGAGTCATTACCTGCCCCCCAGCATAGGGATTGGCCAGAAAGTCGGCTCCATGCTTCCTCGTCACCTGGTGACAAGGGAGCATGAAGCCGGCTTCCCAGCCAATCAGGAAGCCGGACAGCGAGTCATTCATTAATAGGACTTCCCGTATCGGTATTCGGCGAGTACTGAAAAAAAATTATTGGTACTCGATACCGAAAAAAATGTCATCGGGCATCCCTAATTCCTAGCCTGCCTATATGGGTGTAACGAGGGTGTAGAATAACTATTTTTTCCAAGTGAATGTACCATCTGTTTTCCTCTGTGCCTGTTTCTTGTTAAATGATTTTCTTGAGTCATCTTGTACAAAAGATTTTTCTTTTGAAGACGATTCCTATGAAAAAATATGAAAAGACTTAACATACTGCACTAAAAATACAGTGAGCTAAACAGAGAATGGTGGGCTGTGCCTATAAACTTACGCCAGAAATTCCATACCCAACTGGAAACATTTTTCCATCATGAAAGTTAGTGAGGATTAAAGCAATGACTGATAAAGTCTTTCCCTAAAATCATACAAAACAAAAGAATAACCAAAAGCTCCACATGTGAATAGCATTAAACATCATCGAAAAACAAAATACTGAACTGTAAATTGTTGGCTTACTAAATGCAGATAATTGTCCTCACTGTCTAGGCCACCATCATTCTCAGCTTAGGCCATTTGTGATTTGAGCACAGGCATTCCAGTATAAGGATCAGACCATTTGGGGCTACCATAGTGGTCAATAATAGGCTCTTCTGACAATTAACATTTTGCACTGTATTCTCCAACTCATCAGAGAACAGATAGATATCTCCCTACCCATTTTGTATAGTCGTCTAATCTATTATTTTAATATCTTTATTTTAATAGTAATATTCAGTGCATTTACATTATAACTTTATATGTACAAATTGTTTACATTAAAAACATTCCAGTAACTGAAATTCTGACACTTTGTGCCATTGGCAGAAATTGTGTGTTGATCTCAAATGCGAACAAGACAACACTACTATATTAGCAGATGTGCAAGCGCAAGAAATGCCGAACTGTTGCCACATCTGAAGTCACAATATTCTACTTAAAAAGCACCCAGACAGCCAAATGCCTTGACTGGATATTTGGTAGTCAAACAATGGACCACAACAAGTTTAAAATACCTAAAAGACTGTAAAATAGTCCTACATGGACAACAAAATCAACTTTGCAAACAATATCAGCAACACATCTAATAGCCCATGTTCAGCATCTGCTGTGTACAATACTGACTGATCTCCTATAACTATCAGTATAAACACATAGTTTCATTACCAATAGCATATCTTTTACCACTGCAATGTACAAACCCATTGCTCATTATATATTTCACTAGCCTGTGCAGAGTCAAGGAAACAAGGTGAATAATAAACACCTTTTACAATACTAATGTTTTAAAGTAAATGCAGTGGGAGATTTATGGAGGCTCCTACTACTAACCTCTGCATCTGAAAAGTTACATAACTGTTACGCTGATCTTTTGGCTTCAATACTTCAAGTCACTGAGGCAGATAATGCATACAGAACAGAAGTTGTGACTTCTCTCTTACTTCACTTGCTGCATGCTTCTTACAAGTTTGTGACTTAAAGTATTGAAGTCAGACTATCTATATGACAGCCAGATACCTAGAATTTCCTGGGGAAGCAGCAGTGGGGCCCTACACATTTTTCTTCTCAACACAGGTTTCCTTTAAAGTGACACTAAACTCAGGAGTTTAATCTTAAAAATGCATTCATGTACCCTAACTATTAACACAAATGTATCTTAATTGTGTATCACTCGGCTGTAGATCCTCAAATCATCTCTGAATTGGTGCCGACACTGTCCTTCCTTCTGGAGGGTGGCTACTTTTATTCCCCATGGTCCCTGTGAGTGAAGTAAAGTAGCCAATGCTCCAAGCTCACTCCTGTGAAGGACTACAATCTAAATATAAATGAGTAAACTAAACCTGGGATTGTAGTCCATCACAGAAGTGAGCTTGGAGTGGTGGCTACTTTACAACACACACAGGGACCATGGGGAATAAAAGTAGCCACCCTCCAGAAGGAAGGACAGTGTCGGCACCAATTCAGAGATGATTTGAGGATCTACAGCCGAGCGATACACAAATAAGAGACATTTATGTTAATAGTTAAGGTACTTGAATGCATTTTAAGATTTAACTCCCGAGTGTAGGGTCCCTTTAATTTCTGCTTTTAAATGACAATTTGTCAAAAATAAAGCAGCTCTGAACAAATGAACAGATGATTGTTCCACTAAGTCAGAAACAGACAAAGGAAAAGAGAAATCTATATTTTATTTTCGGTCTGGAGATTTCATGCCCTATAACTGAAACAAAGAGAACATACCAGTCCCATGTCATCTGCCAGAATCCCTCCTCTTACACTCTCTGGCCTTTCTTTTTCTGCAAAGTTTGTAAGAGTGCAGTAGTAGAGGTTGTTCCTCTGTTCCCAAAACGGTGGCAGGTCTTTACTGTTCTCGCGTGACACCATCCAAGCCAGTGCCTGCTTCTGATGAGGGAGCAATGATGTTCCCACAGCCTGCAAAGATCATTACAGATCACAGCAAAACATTTACCTCCATATATGTGAGCCAGTCACAGGTGTTTGCAAAGTAAGCTTTGTAATATTACCAGTAATGAAATCCTTTACACAGGATTAAAACCACAGCTCATTTCAACACAGTGAATCTTACCTTTGAAGGTTCAACTTCGCTGGTTTTATCATCTTCCTTCAGATCTTCAAATAATTTATCAAATTCAGTCTTCAGCTGTTAAACACACGAAGCATGTACAGCTTAGTTAGTATACTGTTTGTTCACAATAACATAGGTAAAATAGTTCTGTGTAAGACATTCATTTGGTGAGATTTCAGTTTTCTTTGCAAAAAGCAAGAAGCGGGTCTAAAAGTAGGATTTCATTTTGGGGAAAAAAATAGTGGATAGAAATGATTGGGACATGCCGAACAGTATAAACCCAGAGAGCAACACTCTCCCACCTCATTTGGCTCCATCAACTATTAAATAACTAATCAATCAACTATCAACTCTATTAACTATCAACCCTGCTCCAAATGCAACCCTTATCTCATATCTATGATGACAGCTAAACATCCATTGGGAAGCTGCATCATGCTACAGGATAATACAATACGCCAAACAGTACAGAGCACAAGGCATGCCAGTCTGAGGGGAGTTTTGTGAATAATGTTTATCACTATGCCTAGATACCATATGACATAGTAGTAATCAGCAAACGATACATCATTAATGGTGCCAACTAGGGATGTCCCGATACTAGTATCGGGGCCGATAACAGGCATATTCTCAAGTACTTGTACTCCTGAAAATGCCCGCATTCTTCAGGCCGACACTGGCCCTTTAAATTTTTAAACGGCAGCAGCTGCTGAGTGCCCGTCGGGACCTCTGGATCCTGCTGGGGACCTGGCAGAGCCTGTTTGGGTCTATACCTCCTGCTCCTCCTTCCCGAAACAGGCACAGCCATGGACAGCCCCACACACCAGCATCCGTCCAATCAAATCAGAGCCCTGCAGAGATCCATATGCTGCCCTGGTGAGATCGCAGCCTTCTGCTCTGGTTGGATATATTGTGCTACTGTGGTGGGATCATGTTTTGTGCTCCTCTGCGGGTCATGTATTGTGCTCCCCTGCGGGCCATGTATTGTGCGCCTCTGCGGGCCATGTATTGTGCGCCTCTGCGGGCCATGTATTGTGCGCCTCTGCGGGCCATGTATTGTGCTCCTCTGCGGGCCATGTATTGTGCTCCCCTGCGTGAGCATGCCATAGACATCAGTTTCATGTGAGCCAAGTTCCTGCTTGCAACACATGTGTAAAGATCTAGTAAACCTTAGTGCAGGCAAAAAGTAAATCGATACATTTTCCCACCAGGACAAACCTGCTCTGTAGTCATTTGCACAGCTGGGAGAGATGGAGCACCGAGTCGGGGCTGAGCTTTTGGAGAAAAGAAACTTCCTTCGAAACTCTGTGAGCCTAAATTCAGATAAAGAAAATATGTTAACAGTTACAGAATTATTGTAAACTCCAAAATGTTTTGTAACTTTTGTGTTGGTATGTTTTTATTTAATAGGGGTTTCAGGCAGTTTTGGTTAATACAAACTTTACAACAAAATGGTTTGAGGAGCTACACGCAAAACTTTGAATCACTTAAGAGATCGATTCATCTGACTTACCCTCTGCGCAATAATGACTGCTACCTAATCAGTATACAAACAAAATGGAGGATACAAAAAAATCTAGAAGGAAAGCCTGCTCATGTGACCTGTCAAATCTGATAGTCACTTTGGTCTCTATTTTAAATATAAAATAGAAGGTAGCAAACTGGTGTGCCTCCTGACCTCCTCAGGGGTGCCTCAAAATTTTGTGGAAGTGGGACTGTGATGTGAAGGGGGAATGAATGGAGACTGATGTAAAGGGGGCTCCGCATGTAAAAGGGGAACTGTGCTGTTACATCTATTGTATAAAATATGATACATAGTCATGGTTAATATATTGCCATCTTTTGGTCATTTTGGATATTGCACCATCTTTTACTGTGTTCCCTCCACTTGTGTGTGATGTACTTCCCTTCATCTTGCATTGTCTTTTTGGTATCATAGCCACTTGTCTCATAGCCACATGTTAATATGCTCGCATGGGGAAAGATTACTTCTATCTTTGACATGCAAATACCGTCTTTCTAATAAACTGCTACATCCTGTTGTCTCCTGTAACCTACTGCATTCAATAAAGAGCTTTGTGAATGAAAAGGTATTTGGTAAGTTCAGCTGCTAAGGATTGTCCGCAGTGATTGTATCTGCTTATACATGCCAGGCATAGAGGTCTCAGCAAGGGATAAATTACTAATACAACCATCGGAGCCAGAATAGGAACTCTGATGTGAAAGGGGGGGGGGGGGGGGGGGGAGGGGATAGAGAAG